ACTCGTGTAGGATCGTGAAAACGTTCATAAACACAAGCTTGTGTAGGTACGTACATGAACATCAGACTAGTTTATGTTCATAAATGAGTCGAATGATGTTGAACATGAACTTAAATCGAGGCCGAACGAATTTTGATATTAAACTAACCGAGCTCGAGCTGAATTTGAACTTTTCAAAATAATGCTGAGCCGAGACTGAGCTCAACCAACTCATCACAATTCCAAGCCGAGTCCACAAACGAACGAGTTAAGCTCAAACAAATTCAAGCTCGACTCGATTGGACTTGATTTATTTACAGTCCTACAATTCTAAAATGTTACGTGTTATAAAATAATAGTACAGGGGTTTGTGATATATATATATATATATATATATATATATATATATATATATTGATTTTGAGAGAGAGAGAGAGAGAGAGAGAAAAGGGGATGGATGGATGCATGTGAAGGTATTAAATGAGACAATGGGTGAAGGAACATTGTTAATTAGATGTGGTCCCTGCAAATTTGAGCCAGTAGAAGCTTTGTGGGCTGACTTGTGCCATCTCTCATTGCTTGGGATCACATTCCACGTGTCCGCCCTTCTTCCTCTCGCAGTGAGAAAGGCGTACGCCGTACAGCCAACAAAGTCAGGCATTGAAGCACCCCCCAATGCTAGGCATTGAATTTCTTTGACTCAGATGATAGTAAATAAATAAATTCTAATACTTTGGTTAAAAGAGATAAAAAAGAAAAGTGTGACATATTTAATGTAAGTATTTTTCATAAGGTTGAAATATTCCAATCGCGTCATTTGGACCACTCGACATTCATTGTCACCAAGTGTTCCTATTAGTTTCTGAGAAGTTTGATTAAGAGTCTTAATAGGTCTAATCACCGACTTAAGGACTTAAGCCCAAAAATTAATAGTGTCATGTTGATTTTGAAATAATCCGTTTTAATTCCAAATTCTATATGTCAAATTATTTATGTCCAATTCCACTCATTTCAACAACTGTCCATCCTTTAAGAAAAATAATGAAAGTTAATATTTAAGGACCCATTTGACAATCACAATTGTTTTGTGTTTTTGTTTTGACTAGAAACAAAAACAATGTTTTTATTTTAGAGTATGTTCAACACTATTTAGAAGCTTGTTTGATAACGTAAATTTGTTACAAAATTTTTAGAAGCAAAAATAATGTTTCTACTTTAGAATGTGTTCAACACTATTTAGAATTTTTTTTTTGTTAACGTAAATTAGTTACAGGATTTTTAGAAACAAAAACATGAAACTACGTTTCGTAAAAAGTATTGCAAGTTTGAAATTACCTCCATTTATTTGTAAGTTTGAAACGTTAAATGTTCGTTTTTAGTCATAATTTGAATTGAAAGTTTCTGTTTATTTCGTTTAAATTCAAAAAGTATTGCAAGTTTGAAATTACCTCCATTTATTTGTAAGTTTGAAACGTTAAATGTTCGTTTTTAGTCATAACTTGATCATTTGGGTGTTACTGCAAAGGAGTTATGCGGCAACAAATTCCCTACCCGTCTAATTGTTTGGGTTATTTTATTCCAAATATATACTGGGCAGTTACCAATTTGCTGGAAATGACCCAAATAACAGGTCTCTAATCTCTATTGTTAGTCCAGTCCACTAAACTGATTGCTTGGGCTTTGATTAGGAAGGAACATGGACCCACGCCATGTCATTGGTAGGATAATGTGGGAATGGTGGATTAGTAGGCCAGAGGGTCAGGGTTGCACTTTGCACCATTTCAGCACCAATCATTTATGGATTTTGGTGGACTGGGGCTTTGTGGTCGAAGTCATAACTGGTCCTTATTGACTAGTGAATGCTTGCTGCATTTCTATTTGCTTAACACCATATTTTATCAGACTAGGCTGGAATAGACCCATTTCTTGTATTACCTAAGTTGGCTTACAGGTGCTGGCACCAGATGTAAGAACATCTTGATTACCGATCAGCTTTGAAGCCGTGTTATACATCTAAGTGAATAGGTTCAAAACAACATTCAATACCTTCTTTACAAGGCTTAAACCAGCTAGTTAAGTCCTCAACTTACACTGAGAAGTAGCATGATCCCATATAGATTCCGCAATCTCCATGATCGGCCAACTGCTCCGAGTAACAGTTGCATCTTTACCTTGGCTCAAAGTTTCCCCCAAATGACGTCCAAAGCTTATTCTCTCTGTGTGTGTATCACTTTTCTTTTTCCTCCATTTCCTTGGTTAGAACCATAAATGTCGTCAACATAAGATTGAAGTATGAAATGGAAAGACAAGAAGCTCTTCACACTACTCCACTCATGGTGTCAGCTTCGACATCCTTAGAACCATTAATGTCATCAAGATAAGATGGAAGTATGAATAGGGCGGACGAGAAGTCCTTCACCCACCTCCGGCCATGGCGTCTGTTTCTACATCCCGTTCAAACCACTGCCACCAACCTAACACTGTCCAACTAATTTGACATTTTACCAAGAAGTCTGAAAATCTTAAGCTCTTGAATAAAGTTTTCAAGTTTGTGGCCTAGTGGTATCTCCTCTCCTTTCAAAGTGAAAGATAGAGGGTTCAAGTCTTCCCAAGAGCATTCTGTGAACACCCCCAACACCAAAAAAAAAAAAAAAAAAAACAAGAAGAAGGGATTTCATGGATCTGAATATCATTTTTGAAGGCATTGTTAATTTTTAACTGTCTATTTTCCATTTGATTTGAACACCTAGACTATATATCCAAGGCAGAATTTTATATCAAAATTAATTATTGGCCTACAGGCTACATCTACTTGAGCCATTTTCACGACTCCAGTCATTCTTCATTATTTAGTTCTTATATAACAGCAAAAGAGGCTTTATTCATAGACTTGTCATGGAGTAGAATAAATTGAATTATTGTGACGCCGTAAATATTTATATGTAGTCCTCTCCCCAGACCCTGCAGTGGCAGGAGCTTCATGCACTGGGTTAACCTTTTTTTAGTCCCCTGCATATAGAGATGCTATCCAATTCAAGACAAATATAGAAACTGGCACAGTAAACACACTCGAATTGACACCACCGGAGAAGATACCTCCAAAATTAGCTGGTGATTGTTTATTTAGAAAGATGGATGCAAGCACCAACATCTAATCATTGGCACCTCTTTTTGGAGGTGAATGGCATTCTCAATCTTGAATATGCATTTTCACATAGTGAGGCTTAGGACAGGAACCTTCAGACCGCATGTTCAGGGTTATAATCTTTAATGATGTTTGTAGAAGAAAACTATGAATCTATGACTGCCCTAGTTGGCAAAAAGTCAAGAATAATGACAGATATATTCCTGTGGGGTTTCCATCCTACCCTCTATCGGTTCTTACCGTTGGTTATTAGATAATGGCTGTTGGCGATGGCGAAAATGATGTTGAGATGCTCGAGTTGGCTTCTCTAGGCATTGCTCTCAGTAATGGATCAGAGAAGGCAAAAGCCGTGGCTAACGTGATTGGTGCCAGCAACGACGAAGATGGAGTAGCTGACGCCATCTACCGGTATGCATTCCGAGCTTCAGGCTTCAGCATTAAAATTAGGATGGACTTGATGTTACTTGTTATTTACAATGTAGGACACAATACACACTCATTATTGTTTGTGAATTTATTTTTCTTTCTTGATTATTTATTTTATTCAAAAGAATGTTTCTTGTTAGCATGGTAGTGTAGAAATGAGAAGCTTGTCACCTCTTTCCCAAGAAAGAAGAGAATTTGTACGAATTCTTAGCAAGTCCACAATTCTTCAATTATTGTCGACTTCATCTAAGAGCTATCTATCTATTGAAGTGTAAGAAGGAAGTCACTAATTTTCATTTACAGTTTTGAATTGATTAATTGGCTGGTTGGGAATATTTGAAATTTGAGGAGCTAAAATGGTGAGTAACAGAGCCAATTTCTGTTTGTCACTTTGTAGGTGGGTAATAAAAAATGCCGATATGTTCGAAAAAAATACTAAATTTAGTTACCATAGTGCACATACTGGGCTTTAGAGTAGGGGAGTATTCTTTTTTTCTTTCTTTATTATGCAGTAATTACACCATCTCTAACAGCTAACTTTTGGAGTAGACGGATGCTAACATAATAATACGTGTTGGAGCAAAAAGAAGACCACAGTGAGAACATAATAATACGTGTTGGAGCAAAAAGAAGACCACAGTGAGGGGACGTGTTGAAGGATTTAAATCTATATATACCCACACCTCCGCATACCTTGGGGTAGACTTAGTCTTGGACTGCTGTTATGTTGACAACAGATGGAGCCTCATTTTCATAGACCAAATTTAGCATTAAGTTGTATAGACAATATTGGACTCTGCATCTCAAAACACTTCTATCATGTGGTGCATTTCTCCTTGCAGCATTTAAGATGGTTTTGTCAGCAGTGAGCGAAAACTCCACGGCTCGACCTGCTCAGATCAATCAGCGAAAACTCCCATTCCTCCACCACCAATAGCTCGTCCGGTGTCATGCCGGCAGAGTTATGGAAGGGGGTTTTGTAGGTCTCTTGAAACCCTAGGTGGGTCTGGTGACTCCATGCTCAGAGCATAAAGAAAGTATAAGAGAGTTACAAAAGAAATATGAGATACATATATAATTGTTGATGAAATGACTAGATTTTAAAATATGCATATTGAGGATACCTTTGAATTATGTTGTAGATTCTGTTGTAGGGTTCAAGATGACCTAACATGACAATTAGCAACTCTGATGAGTAAATAAATGGGTGTCTCAGACCTGCTACATCACTGGATGACCTTACCAATGAAAATACACTAACATTTTATAACAAATTTTATTGGACGGTGCATTTTCATTTGAAGGGCATACAAGTGACCTTACCAATGAAAATACACTGTAACAACGTGGCGAAATGATGAAGACGGTGGTCTTTTGGACAAGTCGGGACGTTTTGATGCTTTAACCATTATATCTTCACTCCTTGGAAGATACAGGTCTCCTTATATTTAAATTATCATCCATTTTCTCGATTAAGAAAGCATTTAATTTATATGTTTACCACACACCTACTTTACAATGGATTGATTGAACAGATAAACATCTTGATTTCTAATTAGTTACTGAAATACAAATACATCAAGTCATTTAACTAGTAGAATTCCAACAAGCAAGAAACTAATCCTATTATTTGGTATTCTGTATTGACTAATAACAAGATTACTTGATTATTTGATCAAATATAAATCCTGATTCATTAGCTGCGACAGTGACATTTTATACAGAGGTTTAGCTAGTGAGTACTTGGAAGAACGAACTTCCTGAGAGACGCGTTGCATTGTTGGCCGAAACTTTGGTTCAGAATGTAAGCAAGCAAATGCCAATGTAGCAGCCAGACCAACATCCCGCGCAATCCGTCCGGGCGCTGGAGCTTGGAGGCGTGCATCTAAAACCTCCTCTAACATTATATTATGAGTAGATGCTGATGCCAATGATTGGAGAAGTTCTCCCGGATGCCTTCCCATGAGCGTTTCCAGTGCCACAACCCCGAAGCTATAAACATCGCATTTTTCATTCACGACCATGGTGTAAGCAAGTTCTACACAAACAATAAAGATAGTTAATCAATTGTTAGAAAGTAGTTTCCAATTTAGAATGCGGACCTGAAAAGCTACTCAAGAGTCTCTGGAAAAAAAATAAATAAATAAAAGAGTTGAAATTGCATATGAAGAATGGTTCACCTGGGGCAACATATCCACAAGTGCCGGCAAGTACAGTTCGGTTTGATGAATCAGGATATAACCGTCTAGCTGTGCCAAAATCAGCCACGACCGCCTCCATTTTCGAGCTCAACAGGATGTTGTTGCTTGATATGTCGCGGTGAACAATTGGTGGATTGCAATCATGATGCATGTAAGACATAGCATGTGCAATGCCTTTGATGGCGTTCACCCTCATAGTCCAATTCAACTCCGCAGCTTCAGCATCTTGTCTTAGGGCACAAAATAAGCTTCCTCTTTCCAAGTACTCGTAAATCAGGAACATGCAACGATTGTGCAAACAAAATCCATAAAGCTTAACAATGTTTCGATGCTTTATTTCTGTTAACATTCGCACCTCATTCTCAAAACTCTTGTCGAAATTTGGTTCCTCGGCTTCCAACCTGTGAAGTTTCTTCAAGGCAAAAACTTGGCCACTCGGCAACTGTGCTTTGTAAACACTGCCATAACCACCTGTTCCTATGCGGTATCTAATGTCAAAGTCATCTGTTGCTTCAATTATATCTTCATACTCAATGCTTCCATCGTAATTCCACACCGAGAACATATTTTCGTTCTTTATTGCCGTTTCTTCAGATTGAGTATCTTTACTAACCTTATTACGGCGGAAGAAAATAATTACAAGGATTAAAAAGGAAAGGGGAATGAAGATGACAAGCAAAATGATGACCCAGAGTACGGCTCGACTTATCTTTCTGTTGTATTTACAAGGAGGGAAACCTGTGACTCGACCGCATAAACCTTTATTTCCCTTTAATTCCTGCATTGGGTTGCTTCGAACTTGAAAAGCTCGTGGGATTTCTCCCTCCAAATCATTGTATGACAAGTCAATGGTTGTGATCCGAAAAGTAAAGCCAAATAATCTGGGAATAGGGCCGGATAAATTATTGTGAGAAAGATCCAAGTGATCAAAATATTGAAATTTGGTGAAATTCCCGATTTCTTTTGGTATAGTTCCACTAAACAAATTTTGGGAAAGGTCTAGATAGTAAAGCTCGGTGAGATTTCCAATGACTGGGGGAATGGAGCCGCTGATCTGATTGGAAGAAATCTCGAGGCCGGCCAGCTGTGTGAGGTTAGCGAGGGAAACAGGTAGCGTACCTGTAAGATTATTGCTAGAGAGTCGAAGCCAGGTAAGACTCCACATCCTTCCAATTTCTGAGGGGATATAGCCCCTAATGTTATTGGAAGAAATGTCAAGCTCGGATAATTGGGTGAGGTTAGCGAGGGAAACAGGTAGTGTACCCGTAAGATTATTGCTAGAGAGTATAAGCCAGGTAAGACTCCCCATCCTTCCAATTTCTGAGGGGATAGAGCCCCTAATGTTATTGGAATAAATGACAAGCTCGAATAATTGGGTGAGGTTAGCGAGGGAAACAGGTAGTGTACCTGTAAGATTATTGCCGAAGAGTCGAAGAGAGGTAAGCTTCCGCATCCTTCCAATTTCTGAGGGGATAGAGCCCCTAATGTTCTTGTAAGAAATGTCAAGCTCGAGTAATTGGGTGAGGTTAGCGAGGGAAACAGGTAGTGTACCTGTAAGATTGTTTCCAGAGAGTACAAGAGATGTAAGCTTCCACATCCTTCCAATTTCTGAGGGGATAGAGCCCCTAATGTCATTGAAAGAAATGTCAAGCACGAGTAATTGAGTGAGGTTAGCGAGGGAAACAGGTAGTGTACCTGTAAAATTGTTGCCAGAGAGTACAAGAGAGGTAAGCTTCCGCATCCTTCCAATTTCTGAGGGGATAGAGCCCCTAATGTTATTGGAAGAAATGTAAAGCTCGAGTAATTGAGTGAGGTTAGCGAGGGAAACAGGTAGTGTACCTGTAAAATTGTTGCCAGAGAGTACAAGAGAGGTAAGCTTCCGCATCCTTCCAATTTCTGAGGGGATAGAGCCCCTAATGTTATTGGAAGAAATGTAAAGCTCGAGTAATTGGGTGAGGTTAGCGAGGGAAAGGGGTAGTGTACCTGCAAGATTATTGCTAGAGAGTTGAAGCGAGGTAAGCTTCCACATCCTCCCAATTTCTGAGGGGATAGAGCCCCTAATATCATTGAAAGAAATGTCAAGCACGAGTAATTGAGTGAGGTTGGCAACGGAAAAAGGCAGCATACCTGTAAGAAGATTGGCAGAAAGCTGAAGGTAATTGAGTTTCGACAACCTTCCGATTTCAAACGGGATGCTTCCATCGAGCCCATAGTGGCTGAGATTGAGACTTTCTAAGTTTGGAAAGGAAGACATGTTCAATTTCTCCAGCTCTCCCCCTAAATAGGAATAAGAAAGGTCTATCCCAATGACATTTCCAAGCTCATCGCAAGTTATGCCAGACCACTCGCAATGACTTGCAGAAGTGTTAACCGTAATAGTATTCCCCCACCAACCGGTGTGGAGAAGAGCCTCTGCCTCTGTTGATGACGACGATTTCGACAGAATAGTCGTTGCCATTAAGATAACATTAGATGCTATCCATACTACTACAACTGCACAATATTTGAAGGATGCCATGTTTTTTTTCACAATGGATCAAATGAATGGATGCATATGGTCACTGTAAGTAGAATATATATATATAATATATATAGCTAGAGGCTTTTGGCTTCCTCTCTAATTTCTGCTAAGTTTCCTCCTAAACTTCGCGGTTGTTGTCTTCACCAATGCAAGTGATACACGGCTGTAATACCAGTGGTCAAGCTTTTGAATGCTTTTAATTTTCCATAAATATCTAAAAGTATCTTAACCACTTGATGTGATCCACACAAATACCATCTTTTAATTATAAAATTTTCAATATAATAAATAAATAAATAAATAAGTAGAAAAATTGTCGATAACACATAATGTAATGCATTAATACATATATGTTATACATTTTTTATTTTATAATTATGATTAGACTTCACCGATGGAGCACTTACTCAGAAGTAAGCATTGTCCCTTTCAACATATTTGAGAAGGAAATGACCTGAACCAGGAACATGGAGTCTTGGTCTTCTCTACCAATCAACACGGCACAGTGGTGAAGACCTGATCTTTCTGCAAATCAACCATGTGGAGGGAAAAAATCCCCTCTAATAAGATTACTCCACGTCATCACGGATGCAAATCTGTCTTTCAAAGGCCCGTCATGCTCAAGCCCAAATTGAATGTATTCTTAGCCCATGATCATTGTTATTTGCCCTCCAACCTTTATCCAGGCCGAATCAAAAGGTTATCAACCTGATTTGCTAATATCAACATCAGGCCCGTTATTCAAGCCCAGCCGGTTAAAGGTATAGCCAGCCCAGTTATTCAAGGTTGAACAAATCCTATAAGTTGAAGGATTTACCATAGAAGGAAGTCTCTGCAATAGGAAGTTCTACACAAAGCAAGTTCTGTGCATGGAAAATTAAATAATGGAAAGAACTCTAATTGTAAAGAAAGTCATACATGGAAAGAATTGGAGGACAAGCAATGCGAGTCCTACCATAATTCTACTACTTTTTTATGTATAAATAGAGACCAAGACCTCCAATAAAAGGAATCCCAAGCGTCCAAGCAATTTTACGCTTTTCTATATACTGTTCTTGGTTATTTTTATTGCTGATTGAGTGAGTTGTTTTATTTCTCTTAATCGTTATTGGTTGAGTGAAATTTTGCACCTACACTTTGGCGCCGTCTGTGGGAACCGTATAGAAATATATCCCCACCAAAGTTACAACACTTCAAATTCAAATCTCCAAATCCAGCAATATGACTTGAAATTAAAATCTTCAAGTTCAGGATTTGAACCCAAGTTCTCTACAACAACTCTCATGGCCGAAGGTCTCCACGTAGCAAGCCGACCAAAGTCCAACATCCGAACCTCCCACAAGGTTCTTTCCATCAATATTCGGCTTTCGGACAATAATTCGTAGCAAGACTGATGAATGGAAAACCCAGGAGGCATCACTCGTGTTCGCCCTGGTAATCAAATGTCCATCTGAGCTCAAAAAGCCAAGCCATAAATTAATCAGATAAGTGTTCTGATCTTGATTTCGTGTTAATATTTATATATATATGTTCTTGATCAACAAATCCAACATGCATAATTATTATATAAGCACTAGCTAGAAATGATTAATTAGTCTTGCTTTGCTGGTGGCGTATTATTATTTAAGTATTACATCACATGAATAGAGGGTTTTGGGTGGACCATTATATTAAGATCTCAAATATTGGGAAAGAATTACTGATGAAATCTACTGCAAAATCTGATTTATTAAAAAAAAAAAAAAAAAAATCGAATTGGGGACTCATTTTGGAGCATTCAAAGCTTTGTCTTCCAAGATAGCTTGGTCTTCCAAGAACCTGAAGAAGTCGGTCTTTTAGGTCGGCAAAGTTCTTCCCAGCATTCCATTTTTCAAGGCTAACGGCGAAATAAAGGCTTTCAGAAAAGTTTTAAAAATGGGTTGCCGCTCAACGCCACAAACTTTAGTAAACTCATCGGCCGGGCATTTCAAACATCCCAGGCCTTTTCAGACGCGAATCTTTCTATCTCTCTAATCAGATAAGTTTCCTAACTTTGATTTTTTTCAATCTGGGTTAAGCTTTTCATGATACGAATTTTTGTTAAAAATACATATTAAATATATATATATATATACACACACACACACACACACATGATACAATCATATTTTGTTATTCATGTAGACGGTCATTATACATAAAGATTTATGACTTAGTTTGAACCAACCAAATTGCTTATTCAGTATACTCTATTGAGTAAAAAAAAAACCACTTGAACTTCTGTCTCTGTCAACACTCAACAGATTCTTTAGTCTTTCTTTCTTCGATTATAATCCTCTACTGATTCATCCCTCTCTCTCTTATCAAGAATTTTCAGCATTGTAATTTTAGTTATATTCACTAGCTGTTTTGCTCACACTTTGAGAAAAATTTTAGATTATATCTATTAGTTGTTCACTGAAGGTTGATAATTTATCAGAGCCTTAGGACCACATCACTTGACATTGTTGGTTCAGACTCTTCAGAGGGATGCACAACTTCATCACTACTCAACTAAAAGAAGATTTTGACCCTCTACATTGACTTCTGAAATTTACAATTGAATAAAGATCCGAGGCCAGAGGCATTGTTGAATGCATGAGCTGTGCCAGTTGGTCTATTACTTGAGGTCCTAAAATATTACATACATTGAGTAATTTCAATATACTTGATAAACAAGAGCGAGTAAATACTTATTGCTAATTAGAATTTCTAGTTACAAATTCAATTGTGATATATAAGAAGTTCTTAAAATCCTTACTTTCCATCAATCAGTTGCTATATGTTACGTGTCATCATTTTGCATGCTTCTGATAACTTTGCTTACGAATAACTTTGTATTTGCTCTGTGTTCGTAGGTTGCTTAATATTTGGGTTTGATTTATTCGCATTGCAATAAAGATCAATCCCCAAGTGAAGCGACAAATAGTCCAACTATAGAGTTATACTATATGTGGCATCAGAGCGCCAAAAAGGGGGGGCAAGCTTAACCACAAAAAATTTATCTTTGGACCTCAAGAGTCCGAAGACTTCAAATTCCTCTAAAGGCGCAACGAGCTGCCTAGGAAGAAAACTCATCTTCGGACCTCAAGAGTCCGAAGACTCCAAATTTTCTCTAAGGCACAACGAGCTGCCGAGGAAGAAAATTCATCTTCGGACCTCAAGAGTCCGAAGACTTCAAATCATCTTCGGACCTCAAGAGTCTGAAGATTTCAAATTTCCTCTAAGGCACAACGAGCTGCCGAGGAAGAAAATTCATCTTCGGACCTTAAGAGTCCGAAGACTCCAAATTTTCTCTAAGGCACAACGAGCTGCCGAGGAAGAAAATTCATCTTCGGACCTCAAGAGTCCGAAGACTCCAAATTTCCTCTAAGGCACAACGAGCTGCCGAGGAAGAAAATTCATCTTCGGACCTCAAGAGTCCGAAGACTTCAAATCATCTTCGGACCTCAAGAGTCCGAAGATTTCAAATTTCCTCTAAGGCACAACAAGCTGCCGAGGAAGAAAATTCATCTTCGGACCTCAAGAGTCCGAAGATTTCAAATTTCCTCTAAGGCACAACGAGCTGCCGAGGAAGAAAATTCATCTTCGGACCTCAAGAGTCCGAAGACTCCAAATTTCCTCTAAGGCACAACGAGCTGCCGAGGAAGAAAATTCATCTTCGGACCTCAAGAGTCCGAAGACTCTAAATTTCCTCTAAGGCACAACGAGCTGCCGAGGAAGAAAATTCATCTTCGGACCTCAAGAGTCCAAAGACTCCAAATTTCCTCTAAGGCACGACGAGGATTTTCATCTTCGGACCTCAAGAGTCCGAAGAGTCCGAAGATTTCAAATCATCTTCGGACCTCAAGAGTCCGAAGATTTCAAATTTCCTCTAAGGCACAACGAGCTGCCGAGGAAGAAAATTCATCTTCGGACCTCAAGAGTCCGAAGACTTCAAATTTCCTCTAAGGCACAACAAGCTGCAGAGGAAGAAAATTCATCTTCGGACCTCAAGAGTCCAAAGACTCCAAATTTCCTCTAAGGCACAACGAGCTGCCGAGGAAGAAAATTCATCTTCGGACCTCAAGAGTCCAAAGACTCCAAATTTCCTCTAAGGCACGACGAGGATTTTCATCTTCGGACCTTAAGAGTCCGAAGACTTCAAATTTCCTCTAAGACACAATGAACTGCCGCGGAAGAAAATTCATCTTCGGACCTCAAGAGTCCAAAGACTTCAAATTTCCTCTCAGGCACAACGAACTGCCGAGGAAGAAAATTCATCTTCGGACCTCAAGAGTCCAAAGATTTCAAATTCCTCTAAAGGCACAAAGAACTGCCAAGGAATAAAATTACATAAAAATTACCTCGAACTCAAATAAATCGAAGGTTAAATTTTCATGTAAAATTTTGTAAGGCACGAAATAGTGCCGATAAATAAACTTTCATGAAAACAGCAACGAGACATATTATTCTTTCCTTAATAGGGGCAATACCTTCTGTAATGAGGGCAAGATAAGCAGCCCTAAAGAGCTATTAAGAAAAGAAAATATATTCTCTCACTTTTGAAATCTTCGAGCCTACGAGTCTGAAGAATATATATTATCTCACTATAGAGACATTCAAATATTCCCCTCCAAACATGTAAACTCTCAATGCTAGAGCACAGACCTACTTTCAACTTGAGGAGAATGTAGCCCACCAAGCACAACGTGCCACCCTCATCACAGTGGATAATAAGTCTTGGGAAAAGTTTTAAGTTCAAAAAGTTAAAGAAGCCAGCATGCCTCAGCACCGGTCGCTCCGGTACTTGAGAAGAGGAAAAGGATAGATGAAAGGTTCACGCCTCTTCGTGCCACCTTGGCTCAGCTATTCCAAGAAAACAAGGTGAGATTCGCAGCCCATCAGCCAATGAGGCAACCCTTGGAGCAAAGGGACATGAGCAAGCACTGCGCCTACCATAGGGATTAGGGATTACGGGCATACAACTAATGATTGTA